TAGTATGGAGTGACTGTGAGGAGAGGTCTAGGGAGGATCTTGATGGGGGTGGCCAGTAGGCTGGGGTGACTGGAGGAGGAACACAGTCTGGGAATGAGGTCTAGATAGGATCAAGGGTGGGAAGTGGTGGTGGTAGGGCATCCCGAGGCAACAGAAGATGAAGGTTGGGCTGGGTCCAAGGGAACAGAAAATGGAGATTGGGCATAGATAGCCACAATGAAAATAGCCACAACAGAAGGCTAGTTGAGAGGATTACTGGGATGACCTCAGGCGAACACCGAAGACTTGGTCATGTAAGAAAAGGAGAAAACTCAAGGAGAGTTGGGGGGTGTTCCCAGGGCCCATACTCCATCACTTCAATGTGCATTCAGACTCCATAGTTCTTTCTCTGGATGTGGATACCATTTTGCATCATGAGTCTTTTGGAGTTGTCTTAGATGCTTGCATTGCTATGAAGAGGTAAGTCTATCAAAGTTAGCCATTGAACAATGCTGCTGTTACAACACATGCATTTTAAGTAGCATCTCTATACAAGGTACTGGGGTAGGTTCTGGACATAAAAAAAAAAAGAAAAATGACAGTGTCTGCCTTCAAAGAGCTTAGAGTCTACTGGGTGGGGAAGGAATAACTCATGAAGGAGAGAGTATCCCATAGGACTTCAGCAAAAGCTGAAGGTTTTGCTGAAGAAGGGGGAGGGACTTTAGAAGCTAAATTGACATTTCACCAAGTAGAAGGAGTCTGAGGCTTAATAGTTTAATTGAATGTGAAGCCAGACAATTAATGGAAAGCCTCAGGGAATAAACTGGACTCTTAGGGAATAAACCGTCCTTATCCGCTCCCTTGCACAAGATTTCCTAAAGAGCATAGGAAGTAGAACTAATTGAATTGGAAATGGTCTTCCTAAGGCATCCCAAGGCAAAGTAGAGTGTCTTACTTTGAGCCAGGGAGAATTGTCAAGCAGGAGAGATTACACTTCTCCCATCTGCCAGGAGGTAACAAACTAGCTCAGAGCCTGAGTCAAAGGGAAGAGATTTAAGAGCACTGCAAGGTCAAGCAGAGGGACTTGCCTGGCCCTGTCTGGTAGTCAGTGTGCCTAGCAGCAGCAGATCCCCTGACCTAGCCTGGCTACACATCAGCAGAATGATTCATCTATCACCAGCATCAGTGCTAGAATTGTTAGTTGCCTTGGGCATGTGTGCGGGTGTATAATTATCATTATACTTTAAGTTTAAGCCCAGTTTCTCCCCAGCCCCCTCCAGACTGTGCATATTTGTGGAGGAAGGTATGTAGGGAAATGCTTGGTAAGTACTATTTTGTTATGTCATTTGGGTAAATGCCTTTATTAAAGAATTGAGTATATTGGCTGATTGTTAAGGGGATCCATATCATCGGGGGCTTATAAATTAGTGTTAGCTATCCCTTGAACCCTGAAATTGTAATCGCTACCCCAAGAAAGATTCAATCTGCCAGTGCCAGTGAGAGTTGAGTGAACCCATAGAGTGGGTTAAGCACATACATATATCAAGTATGATACAAAATTGAATGTGAGAAGAGCAAATGAGATACAGACAAGGTACTATAAGAAAATCTGCTGATAAAAAAAATTTTTTTATATAGAAATAGGTACAACTTGATGAAATTTGTATCTTGAATTGGCCCAAGAAGAAAACTTTCATTAGACTGGGGTGTGAAAGATGTCTGTTCTAGGTAGATGGAACGGTCTCTGTGAACGCATGGAGGTGGGAAGTAAGAGGAGTGAAATAATGATAATATAACATTTATATAGCACTTACAATGTGCCAGGCACTGTGCTAAGAATTTTAAAACCCTAGGAGGTAGGTGTTATTATTATCCCCATTTTACAGATGAGGAAACTGAGACAATCAGAGATTAAGTGACTTGCCCAGAGCCACAAAGTTTAGTAAATATCTAAGGCCACATTTGAACTCAGATCTTCCTGACTCCAGACCTGGTTCTCTATCCACTACACCACCTAACTGAAAGGTGAATTGAAGCAAGATTCAGATTCTGTTTTAAATGCCAGACTAAGGAACTTACTTTTTATCTCTATCAGATGGCCCAGTGGATAGACTGTTGGGCTTGGAGTCAAAAAGATTTGAGCTTAAATCCTTCCTCAGACACTTAGACAAGTCACTTAATCTTTCTGGGCCTCAGTTTCCTCATCTGTAAAATGAGTGGCAGTTTGGAACATAATGGCCTTTAAAGTCTTTTCCAGCTGTAAAACTATCACTCTCTAGGCAACTGGAAGCCATTGAAGACTTCTAAGCAAGGGAATCGTGGTCAGATCAGTATAGTAGGAAGCTCAATTGCTTGGGATCTTAAGAACATCTTGTGATGACACCCAGGTGGCATGAGAGGAACAGTATGGGGTTGGAAGTCAGGAGGCCTAACCTGCTTCCACTGGGTAAAAACTCATTGCTCATGAGATTTGATTTTTTTTTAAAGGACTTAGGACCTTTTTACAGTCACTTTTTTTTTTTTTAATGTTTTTGTGCCTTGTTTTGTATATGGCTACTGACTGTAAGGAATTGTGGGAGCTAAGTTTTCTAAGCAAAGAGCATTCGCCTTTTCCTTCAGTGGAAAGCAGAATGTTTACTTGATTGCTACGTAAGAGCAAGGACTCCAAACACTAGAGCTCTACTCCAGCTATCTATAAACCTTAAAATCAACAAGCAATTATCAAGTGTTATTCTCCAACACAACTTTCCATCTCTGATCTCAGGGCTTTTGTATGCAGGGAATGCAATCCCTCTATTACCTCCTAGGCCTCAGCAGCAGCATCACCTCCTACTTGAGGATTATCCTGATACCCTCTGATTATTTTGTGTATTTCGTATGTATTTGTTTGTATAGAATCCTCCCTTCTCTCCACAGCTAGGGGCTGTTTAAAAAAAAAGTTTTCACATGCAACTGGGAAATAAGAAATACAGGAAATGGGGTGGTGGGGGAGAGATAGAATGGAAGGCAGACTAGCAGAAGGGGTATTCAGAATGCATGCCATCTTGGGGTGGGGGGAGGAGCGAGAAGGGGTGAAAATTTGGAACTCAAAATCTTGTGGAAGTAAATGTTAAAACAAAGAAAATAAATAAAAATTACTATTAAAAAAAAAAGAAGAAGAATCTCTGAGCCCGTTTCCCCATTCTTAAAATAAATTGGGCAGGACTAGAGGAGGGGCAGCTAGGAGACACAGTGAATAAAGCACCGGGCCTGAAATCCAAAGGACCCAAGTTCAAATTTGAACTCAGACACTTACTAGCTGTGTGACCTTGGGCAAGTCACTTCACCCTGTTTGCCTCAGTTTCCTCATCTGTAAAATGAGCTGGAGAAGGAAATGGCAAACCACCCTAGTACCTTTGCCAAGAAAACCCCAAGTAAAATGGGGTCATGGAGAGTCTGATAGAACTGAAAGGCCTGGAGAATCTCTAAGGGCCCTTTCTTTTATAACATTCTGATCTCAAATGTCTTCCTTAGAAGTGCATTACATCCCTCCAAAGATATTTTGACATCAGTGATTTGGGGGAAATTTTGCTACTTAAAAGCTTATCTCCTTCGCACTTTGTGCCTTGAATCTGCTAAAAACAATCTGTGCTGTGCAGCAGACATAGCATTGAAGTTGGGTGAGAATCCTGTAGCAGATTTGACTTAGAATAGTAGAATATTAGGAATAGAAGTCTGACTCTGCTGCTTCATTCTCTGTTGGGCAAAATCCCAGCCAATCACCACATATTTCTTGAACACCTAAACTGGGCAGAACACAGTGTTAATCCTGCAGGAGTCAAGATCTAGGGAACGCCTAATACCTGCCCTCAAGGAGTTTACAGTCTGGTGTTAGTAGGGATAATACCAAAACAAATTCCAGATTAAGGAGCAGGCATTTTTTCTCATAACCAGTGTGTTTTTTGAGTGGTTGAACAACTATTTCTTATCTGCTCCCTATCAGGCTGGATGCTAGGAGCTCAGGATTCAAAGACAAAAAAGACAGTCCCTGTTCTCAAGGAGCTTACATTCTAACCTGTGAGACATGAGCATACAAGGGTATACAAGATGTATATAAATTATATGATAACAATAGCTAAATTTTATATATAAACATGTTTATATAATGCAGATTACATAACAATAACTACATTTTTATATGTAATATGTGTTTATGCAATACTAAATTATAGAATAATAATAATAATTGCCATTTATTTAGCGTTTTAAAGTTTGGGAAGCCCTTTACACAAATTATCTCTCTATCCTCACAACCCTGGGAGGGAGGCGCTATTATTACTGTCATTTTATAGAAGAGGAAACTGAGGCAAATCTAGTAACTAGCCCAGAATCTCAGGTTTAAGTAACCTGCTCTACAAAGGTTACTTTACACACTCTTACTCTAGGACAGCTTTAGGGGAGGGAAGCATAATTTGAGGGAAACAATTTAACCCTTTCAGCACTTGTTTCCTCCCCTGTAAAATAAAGGGAGAAGCCTAGCTGAACGCCATTCAATTCAAGAAGCGAATGTACTGGGCCCTTTTTTCACACGCCGGGCACTGAAAGGGAAATGCAGGGGCAGATAAAAAGCAAAACCGAAATTGGAGCCTGCCCTCCAGGTGCTTATAAACTACTCCTAACGCTGAACTGTAAAGTTTGGTCCTCCTCGGCAGCAGAGGGCAGCACGAGGAAGAAGCTGAAGGACCACGCCCTCACTCTCGCCCTTCCCCTCGGGCGAAGAGGGAGGGGCTTTTCTAGGTCCGGGCGAGCCCTTCCCCGGCCCCTCCCCCACCCCGGACCGAGGCTTCCGCTCCACTTCCGACCTTCTGGCCTGGGGCAGGTCACGGAAACTCTTCCGACCTCCGTAAAAAGGGAGTAGGGGTTAACCAGGCCCAGGTTAGGCCTTCCGGCGTCCCGCCCTCCAGGGGAAGTTTTGCCTTTGCGCCGCTCCTTCTGATTGGAGGGAGGCCGCACCGCCTCCGCCAATGATCGCGGAGCCGGGGGCGGGGTTTCTGCGGTGACTCCGACAGGATGGCGGGACGGCTGCTGAGGGTAAGGATTCTTCCTCCACCACCATCCCCGCCACAGGGGGCGCCCTTGCCGGGCCGCGACCCCCAGGCCGAGGTGTGCGTGCCCCCGCCCGCCCCGCCTGCCCCGCCTGCCCGCGCGTGCTCTATGGTGGGGGATGGGCGCCTGAAGGTCAGGGTTCACTGGCCGATCCCTGGTTGCCACGTGGGTTTGGGGAACGGCGACCACCGAGAAGCACTGGGCCTGGGGGAGGCCAGAGGACCCGAGTTCAAATCTGGCCTCAGACACTCACTAGCAGTGTGACCCTGGGCAAGTCACTTAGCCCTGTTTGCCTCAGTTTCCTCATATGTAAAGTGAGCTGGAGAAGAAGGAAATGGAAAGCCATTTCACTATCTCTGCCAAGAAAACCCGAAAAGGGGTCAGGGCCAGAAAAACCAACCCAACATCTTATGCCAAACTCTGCTGGGGGTGGGGGTAGCCCTCAAAGGGCTTACCTTCCACTGATTATGAGTTTCCCCATGCCAGAATAGATAGAGCGCCTCCCTGTGGTTGAGTTCAAATCCAGGTTGTAGTAACTGTGTGACCCTGGACAAGTCATTTTACCTGTTTGCCTCAATTTCCATAAATGCAAAATGGGAATAATAGCAGCCCCTCCCTCTCAGGGCGGTTGTGAAGATCAGATGAGATAGTTTTTTTAAAGTGCTTAGCCCTGGACATGAGTGCTTATTCCCTTTCCAGCTTCCTCTGGAGTGTGGAGGTGACCCTGAGCTCTCCTAGGCGGAGCTAGTCAAAGGCAAGGGAGGCAGGCTCTGAGTGCATGCCTGGTGATCTGCTCTCCCACCTCCAGCCAGGTTTGGAGAGACCCACCGGCTTTGTTCCCAGCAATCCTCTGAAGCCATTTACCAGGTTAGGGGTTACCAGGTTGTGATGTGCATGGGTAAGGGAGATGCTCTTGTGGACGGTGTCCCAGGTCATGGGAGTAACGGAGCCAGAGAAAGGAAAACCGTCTCCTTATTTTGTAGTCAGTATATCTTGGAGGTTCCTAACATGGCGTCTGTGGATAGATTTCAGGGATCCTCGAACTTGAATGGGGAGGAGAAAGTACAATTTCACTAACACCTAACTGAAATGTAGCATTTCTTTCAATTATGGATGGAGGCAACAAAGCCTTATTCTGAGAAGTGGTCCTTAGACTTCGCCAGCCTCCCCAAAGAGTTTATGAGGTACACAAAAGATCAGAACTTATGGAATGTTTGGCGGTTGGGTGGAAGAGGCTGCTGAAGGCGGCCTTTGGGTGGATCCCTGACCAGTTGTTTTTGCAGAAGCGGGTCCAGGAGGCGGCGATGATCCTTGGAGGTGGAGGACTGATCTTCACCTCCTACCTGACGGCGGTGGGGGACGAGCACTTCTATGCCCACTACCTGATGCCCATGCTGCAGCGGCTGGTGGACCCAGAGCTGGCTCACAAGCTCACCATTCGCTGCCTGTCCATGGGACTGCTCCCACGCTCAGCCCTCCCAGATTCCAGCATGCTGGTACATCCTCTGTGGGCTTGAGGGGGCGAGGGGAAGCTCAGGCCCCCACGATATCCGACTAGGGCCGGCCCTGGGGGAAGCCACGGTCATGATTAGAAATTCAGAAGTCGGGGCAGCTAGGAGGCGCAGTGGATAGAACACCAGCCCTGAAGTCAGGAGGACCTGAGTTCAAATCCAGCCTCAGACCAAACACTAGCTGTGTGACCCTGGGCAAGTCACTTAACCCCAATTGCCTAAAAAAAAAAAAAACCAAAAAAAAAAGAAAGAAATTCAGGAGTCCTTGGACTGGCCAAAGTGATGAAACTTCCTTGGCTCCCATTTGTTCCATTTGTCAAATGCAGGGGTTCCTTCTGTGTTTTAAGAATGAATAGAGCTGAAGAGGTGCTTGCAGCAGAACTAACTGACCTAAATACATACATCCACATACAACACAGATGCATCGTACCCATGCATGGATAAGTACACATGTGCATGCATGTATACACATACACATATGTAACTTCCTCCTAACATCATCCTTCCGTGTCTGTCAGAAGTCCGCACTGTAGGTCCCAGAACAAATTCGTTTGGTGTTCAGATAGGCTGATTTTCCCCTGACAGGACCCTTGATAGAATTATACTAAACGTAGCTTGGTAACCAAGCCAGGTTCCAGGGTGTGGTCAAGATGCCTTGTCCCTCAGGTGAGTCCTTGAGGACCCAGGTTGCCCAGTGAGCTCAAGGGGAATGCTGGGGTCACAGTAGAAGAACGTGGACAAGATGACTTGTAGAATGAGTAGGCCTACAAATGCAGTTTAATTCAGTTCATTAATCATTTATTATTTTGTGCCAGGCACTGTGCTAAGCCCTGGGGATCCAAACAGAGGCAACAGGCAGTTCTTCCAGGTTAATGTTTTTATTTACAAGAAACACGGTTTGCTGGAATTGTTGCCTAGTCCGCCGGGAGGTCCCCAACCCTTCCGTTGTGTGGGTTTCCTTTTTGTTACCCCCTCCAACCTGTAGCACGGCCCCCTCTGCCTGAAGGAGAGCTTGTGCATTGTGTCAGGACCCCGGACAGAGGTCTGCCAGCAGCGGGTCACTGGTGGTCCTCCTTTCTTCCTTCATTTTCCTCTCTGCCTTTTTTCCTCAGGCTTCTTTCTCCTAATTCTTCTCCTCTTCAACTTTCTCACTCACCTCCTTGTTTCTCCATTTCTCCCTTTCCTTTCTCTCCTACCCTAGAGCTTAGGATTCCCCTGGCCCTTACTTAGTCCCTTATGGAATGTGGCTAAAGAGGTGGCAGACTGTCGTGTGTCACGCCCTCCCTAATCAATTTTATAGGTTAGAACTCGATGGAAGGGGAGGGTGTATGTGTGTGTATGTATACAGGCAAACACACACATGCACACATGTACACATACATGCAGCTGTGAATCATATATTTATGCATTACATCTATACGTACGTGTGTGTGTGTGTGTGTGTGTGTGTGTGTGTGTGTGTGTAGCTAATGGTTAAAAATGCACCTTGATTTATACTGCCTCATATCTCTTTCCTCTTCTGTCTTGGTATTCAGATGAACATTCCTTACTTTAGGAGTCCTTGACCTTTTTTGTGACTTGGACCCCTTTGGCATTCTAGTGAAGTTTGTGGACTGGTGGTGCAGTGGATAGAGTGCTGGGCATGGAGTCAGGAGGACCCGAGTTCAGATCTGGCCTCAGACACTTATTAGCCATGTGACCCCTGGCAAGTCACTTAAGCTCTGTCTGCCTCAGTTTGCTTATTTTTAAAATGGGGATGGGAGCAGCACCCACCTCCCTGGGTTATTGTGAGGATCCAATGGGATAACATAGGTAAAGAGCCTTGCGCACCTTAGACTATATGAATGCCAGCTGCAAAAATTCATCATTGAGAGAGACACTGGATTTCAGTTTGAGGCGGGTGAAAACGCTCATTTTTTTTTTTCTGTCTGAGAACCCCGGGTTAAGAATCCCTGTTCTAGTGTGAAAGCAGGACCTCTGTCCTGTGCAGTTGGTGGGACTTTCCTGGCTCAAACGATGCTGTCTGAGTGGAAGGATTGAAATACAGGGGACAATTAGGGGTGGGGACAGAGAGACTGTTCTGAAAGGAAAGAAGCAGGGTCTGGAAGTCATTTGTTGTTCAGAGAAAGGATCTGTTCCTTGGACTGAGGGGAAACCGTGTTAGCTCATTAAAATGAGATGTTCTGTCTGAGACTCTTTCTGGAGGCCATAGGAGCTGTCATCTAGGCGAGTATCCTTGGCCTGCCAGCTTAGTTAATGCATGGTGTTGGTGAAATGATGGAGCTGTAATGTAATCTTGTATGTAATCAGTGTGAACTTGATCTCTTCGTCCCTCTAGGAAGTACGGGTCCTGGGCCATAAATTCCGAAACCCCCTGGGAATGGCTGCAGGCTTTGACAAGAATGGGGAAGCTGTGGATGGACTCTATAAGATGGGCTTTGGTTTTGTTGAGGTAGGAAGTGTTACCCCAAAACCGCAGGAAGGAAACCCTAAACCCAGAGTCTTCCGACTCCCAGAAGATCAGGCTGTTATTAACAGGTAGGTGAACAGATCTGGTTTGTGAAGACTATTTCTTAGTCAAGCCCTAAAGATGGGGAAATTAGCTTTTGTTTCCTTCCCCTCTCCCAGAATGGATGTTGGCCCATCCCTCAGAATGCTGCGAGTGCTCGAGCACTTTCTGGGTGGGGGAGCAGAGCCCTTCAAGTGAGCCACGTTCTCTTGTGTTCCACAGATACGGCTTCAACAGTCACGGACTGTTAGTGGTGGAACGCAGGTTACGGGCGCGGGAGCAGAAGCAGGCTAAGCTCAGCCAAGGTAAAATGGAATCCTCGGACCCAGACTTGGCTCATTGATTAATTCCTTGGCTAGGGAAAACTTGCCGTCAATGTGGAACAGAATTTCTCAGTGACTCAGTATCTTGGGTGAATTCTCCTTGGTTAAATTCTTTGTGACATCAGACAAGGCACTTCCTCTCCCTGGGCCTCAGTTTCCTCATCTGAAAAATGAGGGGGGAAGAGTAGGTGGGCTTTGAGGTTCTTCCGGCTCTGGAGCTAGGCTGCCATGGTCCTAGAAAGGACCGGCTTGTACAGTTTGTTGTTTTATCTCTTGTACGCTCTTTTTTTTTTTAATTTAATTAAATCATGTGATTTCTCTTACTTTATAGGTGGGGAAACTGAATGAAAGTTTAAGTTGCCTGCCCAGGGTCTTAGCCAGTCTGGCACGGGGCAGAGCCATTCAAACCTGAGCTATCTAGTGCCTGGCTCAGATCTTCTTTTAAAACGAGGCTCCCTCCTTTTCTTGTCCTTGAGATTGTGACCCATAATTGTATGGCTTCTTTGGTGACCATTTTAAGGGTTATCAGTCAGTCAATAAACATTGATTAAGCACCTGCCAAGTGTCAGTGCTGAGGACACAAAGAAGGGCAAAAACACGGGCCTGCCCTCCGAGAGCTCACAGTGAAGGGGTCCTGTGGCAGGGACGACTAACCCTTCTTGGGTGCTCTCCCTTGGCCCGTCTGTTGGGATGCATCCGGGGCCATGATGCCTTCTGTGGCCCTCGGGACACTCCTCCCACAGGGTTTTGTGGGGGCAGAGAGGGCAGGCAAATGATACAGAGCACGTGGTTCATTGCAGGGATTGATCATCTGTGACCTTGGTGTTAGGATGCCCTGGGCACAGACTAGCTGTGAGATCTTGGACAAGTCACTGAACTTTTCAGGGCCCTAGGCAACTCTTCAGACTGTGAGTTACAATTTGTATTTGTGGAGAGAATTTCCTCACCAGGAGTTCCCCAAAACGATGAAATCACAGGTCCACACCCCCCCCCCCAACCCAATGAATTTGTGTATTTCTTTATGGTTTCCAAAACACTTTCACATTCATTATCTTACTTAATCCTCACAGAAACCCTTTCTGTGAGGCAGGCCGGCCAGGTAATACCACCCTCATTTTATAGATGGGAAAACTGAGGCTCATAGAGGTAAAAGAACCTGCTTGCAGTCATATAGCTTTTAGGTGTCAGAGCCAGGACTAAAACTTCAAGGTTTCTGACTCCTACCCCAGTGTTCTTTTGGTTACATTGTTGTATCTTTTGAAATAAATCAGTAGGGGGATGCCGTTTTTAAATGCCACCCACTGTGTCCCCAGATATATTTATAAAATTGTTTTGTAAAGAAAACTCTGCTCTGGTGGTTCTGACACCGATAACAAAAAGCTGCTTCTCTGGGGACCCTCGAAAGGTCTTAGCAAGGCTTGGGACACTTTGCAGGCTCTTTTCTCCCTCCCACCTTTCTCTGGCTGGTCATGCTGGGAGCTGCTCTGATCCCATCATAGTTAGGCATTTGAAATGAAAGGACATTCTCTCTCTAAAGTCATCAGAAGGTGTCTGCACCAGGCCAGGGACCATGGTGGCTGTTGAAAGGGACGCTGGAAGTTAGGGGAAAACTTGCATTTTTCACAATCAGTGTGCCTAGGAGCGTGGGTTTGGAGAAAGATATCAGACCCCCAGGGAAAGAGAAACCGCTCAGGTTCTGCTTGAATCAGCCCAGGTCAGCAGGGCCAGGTGGGTGCTAGTGAACATTACAGTCAGCTCCAGGGCAGTGATGGTACTTTCCAATCCAACTTAATCTAAGTGGTTGGCAAGCATTCTAAGGTATTTATTAAATGCCTGTCACGTGAGAGGCAGTGTGATATAATGCCCAGAGAGCCAGAATTGAAGTTGAGAAGACCTGGGTTCTAATCCCGCCTTTGATACATACTGGCTTTGTGACCCTGGACAAGTTAAACTTGTAACTGAAGCTCTTGGTATCCCAGATTATGAGAAAGGGAAGAAACAAATGGGCATTTATTAAGCAACAAATATGTGCCAGGCATTTTACAAATATTAGCTCACTTGATCCTCACAACAACCCTGGGAGGGAGGTTATTATCCTCATCTTACAGTTGAGGAATCTCAAGCAGACAGGTTAAGGGACTTGCCCGGGGTCATGCGTCTAGTAAGTGTCTCAGCTGGATTTGAACTCAGGTCTTCTTGACTCTCAGCCCAGACTCTGTCTATTGTGCCACCTGGCTGCAGTTGCCAATAGCATTGGTGGAGGGAGTTACTCACTAGAAGTTCCCTGTGTCAATGAAACCACAGGTCTGGACAAAAAAAAATTGTGGAAGGTCCTTCCTACAGATGCAAAAAGAACTAAAAACACTCCTTTATTCCAGGAGGTTATATTTTGTGGGGAGAAGGGGGCAATTGGGACTTGGGCATTTATGCGGGTCAGTAAAAGAAAATGTGAGGAGGGAGAAAGTCCTGACAGCTGAGGAGATCAGGGGCAGCTTCCTGCAGGAGGTGACACAGATTGAAGTTTGAAGGATTCTTAGAGGCAAAACAGAGAAAGGAGCACATTCTGGGCTTGTGGAACATCCTAGAGAATCACAGGATGGCTCAGGCCCCCCCCCCCCCCCGAGCCAAGTGAGAAGCCTCTCCCTGCCCCACCCAGGGTCATCCCCAGCGACTCCTGAAACCCAAAAATTCAGAGTCCTCCATTTCCTTTTAATTCATTTTTTACTTTCACACAGATTCCCCAAATAGGAAATTCTTCACTTTGGATTTGAGAAAGTTCTTAGTAAGTCTGGATGCATCCTGTTAGTAAAGAGACGTCACTAATTCTGCTGGCGTCCTAGGCTGATTCCCAGCCATTTGATAGAAGACCTTTGCAGACCTTGGCATGTCCTTCAGAGCTGAAGGAAGCTTGGTTACCTGAATGGTAGCAGGTTCCCCAGGTCTCAGGGGTTTGAGCATCTCTTGCAGATGGGATGCCGCTAGGAATAAACTTGGGAAAGAATAAGAGCTCTTCGGATGCTGCAGCTGATTACGCAGAAGGAGTCCGAGTCATGGGGCCTTTGGCGGATTACCTGGTGGTGAATGTTTCCAGTCCTAATACCGCTGGACTGAGGAATCTGCAGGGGAAAGAAGAATTGCGCCAGCTGCTGATCAAGGTCCGCCATCTGCAAAATCCGGATCTTTAAAGATCAATCTTAAAAACCTTTGAATTCAAATTGGTTTAGAAGGTTTTTTGATAATGCTTTTTGTTGGGAAAAAAAAAAGAAAGAAAGAAAGGAAAAACCAAAACACTCTAAAGCTTTATATAGAGTTTTTAAAAATAGATTTTTAATTGCTATTTTTTATTTTTACATTACTCAGATTTTCTGTCTTAGCCCTGTCCCTCTGCCCTCTCAGATAGCCTTCCCTTATAAGAAACAGAAAGCAAACAAACAAAATATGTACATAGAGCTTTGATATGCCTGTCATCTGGGGCTAGGAATCATAATTTCTAATCATTTTGTACTTGAACCACTAGAATCATCTAACTTTTTTTCAGAAAGTTTTCTAAATATAGACAGTTCTCACTAAGTAAATTTACATTACATAAATTTGACTTTAGGTAAAGAATTCTGAAAGAAATCTACATTCCAAAAAAACCCACAAACGTCTATGTTAATTTTACTATACAGTACTGTGTTCTCGCTCTGCTCTTTCTCCTTGGCTTGGTGCTCTGTGGCCTCTCACCACCCTCCCCCCCCCCCCCCCGAAAAACAACAACAACAACAACAAAAAACCCTAAAAAAAAAACCAAAACCCTCTCAAGTGAAAGCCGAAGAATGGATGTGTGGGGATGCCGCTAGCAATAAACTTGGGAAAGAATAAAAGCTCTTCGGATGCTGCAGCTGATTACGCAGAAGGAGTCCGAGTCATGGGGCCTTTGGCGGATTACCTGGTGGTGAATGTTTCCAGTCCTAATACCGCTGGACTGAGGAATCTGCAGGGGAAACCAGATTGGGTGCTTGACTCCTTTGCCCTGCTCCAGCCCTCTGCCTGCACACCTGGTTCTGTGTGTCTTGTCTGTCTGTGCTCAGGTACTATGTGTCTATCCCTGGCGCCTGTGCGTACCTCCTTCTGCTCTCTCTTCTTTGTCCCTGGCCGCCGTGTGAACTTGAACCGTGTGCCAGCTCCTTCCCTCCCTCCATGGGTGGGTGGCCCCCATCCTGTCTCCCTCCCTTCTTTTGTCCCTCCTCCACATCCATGGGCAGATTCTCCTTAAATAAAAATCACTTTTTGTAGAGGTCTGCAGAATGGTCCACTTATATAAAGTGAGAATTGTCTGTAATTATTACAGATTGTGGCCTTTGTGATTTCAGCTGCTTCACTCTTTGTAACTTGGAAAGATTGAATCAAATTCATAGTGATCATCATATCTCCTATATCATTCCTCCTAATTCTTCATCCCTTTTCCCCTTTTCCCTGTTCCTATAGAGGGTAACACCATCCTCCTAGGCCGTCTGGCTCACAACCTAGGAATTGCCCTGGACTGCATACTGTCTTTCACCCCCATATCCAAGCTGTTGCCAAGGCCTGTCAGTCTCACCTTTGCAATGTCTCTAGATGCTTGTCTATTCTGAAAATGCAGAATTGTCCCTTTAAGTTTGTGACTTAGTTTTTTATTTACTTTTTATTCTGCCCAGTTAGTAACTTCCATTTATGCCTTATTAAAACATCACAGTCATTTCCTGATCTGTTCCCATCAGCAAATCCTCCCTTGTCACAAAGAAACACTGAAGAATTGTGATAGTTTATAATTTCATTGGAAATTTTATTCATCCCAAGAAGTTCCAAACTCTAATGATGCCTTGTTTCCAGGTGCTGAAGGAGAGGGACGCCTTGCAGGGTGGACACAAGCCGGCAGTGTTGGTGAAAATTGCCCCGGATCTGACGGCCCAGGAGAAGAGGGAGATAGCCAGTGTGATCAAGGAGGTGAGAATCCTGGACACGGCCAGCAGTCTGCTTACTCGTGTTCTGCCCAACTCTGCTCTTGTTTAGAATAGACCCTTTAATCTGCTGCCCCAAGACTGGGGGCTAGTGTGCTATTGGTTGTTCTGGGTGAGTCAGGATATTGTCCTTGTACCTGAGAAAGCCGGTCTTTGCTTACCCACTTGGCCTTCTTCTCTCTTTTCTCCTCAAACCTTACACCCCCTTCATTCTTCAGCTGGAAGTCCAGCCTTTCTCAGTCAGCCCTGGGTTGAGACTCATATTCTCTGCTTATTCAAGGATTAAAATTGTAATATAGTAATAATTTAATATAATGATAATATTATAATGATTTACATAAAAGCATCTTACTTCAGTAATCTCATCTGAGCCTCCCAACACCTCTGGAAGGTAGGTGCTGTTGTTATCACTGTTTTACAGATGAGGCAGTGGAGGCAGACTGCAGTGAAGTGAGTTGCCCAGGGTCACACAGCTAGGGTTTGAACTCGGGTCTTCCTGACTCTAGGCTTTTCCACTGCGCCACCTGGTCAGGTGTGCCTGGTTAGTAGGCTGAGCTGTCTTCCTTTCTGGAATACCACACTAGGCATGTTGGGGGGCCTGTAGGCCCAAGAATAAGGACCCTCTCTGTCCCCCACATGTGGCTCATGTGTTTCTCTGTTCCTGCACTGCAGCTGGGCATTGATGGGTTGATAGTCGCCAACACAACAGTCAGTCGTCCTGCCAGCCTTCAGTGTGCACTTCGGTCTGAAGTGGGAGGTCTGAGTGGGAAGCCTCTCCGGGACCTAGCGACCCAGACTGTGAGTGAGATGTACTTGCTCACCGAAGGTAAGGCCTTCCTGGGCCCAGAGGGACCGTTCTGAGGCATGGCTCTACGGCTGTTGGTTGGGCGGGGTGGGGCAGAAGATGTGTGCGCATGGGTGCCCATTTTCATTCATTTACTCATCAGGCAAAATTCCCATAATTGGAGTCGGTGGGATCTGCAGTGGGCAGGATGCGCTGGAGAAGATCCGCGCTGGGGCCTCCTTGGTGCAGGTGTATACGGCGTTCACCTACAGGGGACCCCCCGTGGTCGGGAAAATCAAGCGTGAGCTGGAGGCCCTTCTGAAGTGAGTGGTCTGAAGCAGGGCCTTGTAATTGGTCAGTGCTGATGTGGCCTATCTGTGCTTGGCCACCCAGGCTCTTCCCACTGTCCTGGGCGGCAGGGGTTCTCCTCCTCCTACCCTTCTGCCTTTGCATGGGCTGGCCTCCAGGCCTGGAGGGTTCTTGTTCCACGCTCCATCTTCCGCAGGAAGCCTCTCGTAGTCCCCCGGCGTCTGGGCCAGGGGTGGGGAACCTTTAGCCTCAAGGCCACAGGTGGCCCTCTAGGTCCTCAAGGGCAGCCCTTTGACTGAATACGAACTTCACAGAACAAATCCCCTTCATAAAAGGATTTGTTCTGTAAAATTTGGAGTCCGTCAGAAGGCCGCCCCCAAGAACCTAGAAGACCACACGTGGCCTCAAGGCCACGGATCCCCCGCTCATGGTCTAGAGCCTTTCTCTTGAAGGTAGCCTTTCTCTTGAAGGTTGCCTTTCCTCTGCTCTGCATGGATCTTGTGTATACCTCATTCTCTACATGTCATCTCCCCTCCTAGAATGGAGGCTCCTCGGAGCCCTGGGGGGGACTGTTCTTACTTCTCTTTGGGTTCCCAGGTTTTAGCACAGTGCCTGGCACATACGAACCACTTCACAGATGCTTCTTAATTAATTGAATGGTGGATGCAACCTTTGAGTAGGCACAGTGCCTTGTATCTCCTGCCTGGGACAAATACGTCCTTAATGTAGATGTTATTAGTGTGGTATGTATTTAATTTCATTATCTGTACTTTCTAAGAACATCAGGGGGATTCCTGATGTCTTCCCACATGAGGACTGATTTTATTAATGAGATGGCCAGTACCCGAAGGTATGGAGCCTATCCACTTTTTAGTTTTAAAGAGGATGTTGTCAGTGGGGTAGAGACTGGGATAGATAGAAACATGTCATCTCTGGGGGGACGGGCTGCTGTGAGGTAGAGCCTGGGATAGGCAACTTCCACACGTCATCCTGTTCTTTTAGAAGAGAAACATAGATCTAGGTTTGATAGAACGAAAAAAGCAAGCTCACAATTGGAGGCCTCCGGGAGTAGAACAGGTTACTCTGGGAGAAAGAATATCCCCCGGTCAGTAAGGTTGGCCCAGCACTGGTTTTGTGAGATGGTGTCGGGGGTTTTGTGATTCTCTGATATGCAGGTAGGCCGCAGCTTCTCCTGGAAAGTTGGGCTCCTAGTTTGTGATGTCTTTATAGGAGCCTCTGTTTCTTTTGTTCCAGAGAGCAGGGTTTCAGCCAGCTCACAGATGCAATTGGAGCAGATCATCGGAGGTGAGCAAATTGTTCTGTGTGGAATGTGAAGTCGTGACCTTGGTGGATGGAAGGAATCCACCTGGAAGCTGATCCCTGTATCCCAGGAGACCAGACTCACTGACATGGCAGGACTGTAAAGGACAATGACATGGGCCTCAAGGCCTCAGGGGACTCCTTTGTGGCCTGCTCTGACTGCACACCTCAATCATGATTCTTTTCAAGTTCATGGTACATAAGAAAACTATTGTGAAGTAAAGTCATGTCAAGTTGATATTTAGAACTCTGGCCTCTTTCTCTCGGGCGTCTTATTCTACCCATTCCCCTCAGAGCGTAGCGACCTGGATCACGCGCTTCTGGTGACCAGGAGAACGACTCCTCCACGACTGAGGTTCTTGCAGAAACTTTTCTCCTCCAGAAGGAGAGAGGCAAGACTGGGGGAGGAGACAACCCCAGCTCTTCTGGATTAGCACATGGCTGTGGGCATCGAAGGATGGCTGAGCAAGCACCTACTCCTGATAGAGAGGCGGTGGACTGCACATGCATCTCGATTGCATATATATGACAAGGTTTTTGTTTTTACTTCTCAGTCTCAATAGTAGCAACAACAGTCTTCATGGCATTTATGTGGTGCTTTACGGTTTACAAAGCAATTTACACGTGATCCCCCCATTCAATCCTCACAACAAGAGGCAGGTGCTGTTATTATCTCCATCTTACACATGAGAAAACTGAGGCTGAGGTTAACTGAGAGGCAGCACAGATGTCTGAAGCAGCATTTGAACTCGGGTCATCCTAACTCCACAAACAGCACTCTGTTGTACCACACAGCTACCCTGGGGAAAGCGGGAAGGGGAGAAGGCGGGGGTGGGGGCAGGGTTTCCTGGCCCCACAAAGATGAGAGGAGAAGAGAAGGAAGGCCAGAAGGCACGCAGACAGGCCCGATGGCTCTGATAGTTAGAGGCGCTGAATTTATTTTACTTAAACAGAAAACCCGTTGGACGTCAGGGAGATTTTCAGTTTCCTTTCCAGTGCGTACGGATGTGCTTGTTTGATTAGGCATTTGTTGAGTTTAGAATTTAAAAAGTGAAATGGAACAGTACACAAGGACAGCCATGATGGAGTGGGGATAACAAGTGAGTTGCCCTCATGTGCTCCTGCATCTCCTTCCCCTCAAAAAGGAAAGAATGGCCAAGTGAGAAGTGGGGATGAGGGAGAATTGGACATAGGAACTTCCCTCATGATGAGCACTGGCGAGTAACAGGTGTGGGCTGATGGAGGTTCTGCAGTGAGGCCCAGGGTGGTCTGGACCCAGGATGATGAGGTGCTAAGGTAGAATGAGTAAAGCGGAGGTGTGTGGGCTCTCTGGCAGTGAGCGACGTTCCCACTGGCACTGGCTCCTGGAGGGAGGGAGGGTCCCAGACAGCTTGGTGTGGCTCCGCAAGGTCCTGGGGCTCTGTGGGTGTGCCTTTGATCTGAGGGTGAAGGATGTTTGCAACATCGGTGGGGGAAAAAGTCTCGTAAATGACTTTGTGAAACAACATGCCCTGATGTCTCAAGGCAGTGTCATATAATCTCAGTATAACTTGTTTCCTTTGTAATCTTGTGTTTTATTTTAGACATTTAAAAGCAGTATTCTGAGAAGGGGTCTGGGGCTGATTGCCAAAGGAGACTGTCACACGCGCGCGCGCACACACACACACACAGAAGGTTAAGGGGACAAAAGACAGTCCCACTTCATGTGTTGTGTGTACCCTGTACCTACAGATGATAAACTTCCCAAGGGCAGGGACCATGTCTTACTTAAATTCTGACTCTCATGATTGCTTAGCACATAGTAGGTGCTTAATAAATATTTCATACGCTTAAATTGAAATTCTAAATTGCTCTTTTTTTTTTTGTTTTTTTGGTGAGGCAATCGGGGTTAAATGACTTGCCCAGGGTCACACAGCTAGTAAGTATCAAGTGTCTGAGATCAGATTTGAACTCAGGTCCTCCTGACTCCAAGGCCAGAGCTCTGTTAAATTGAAATTCTAAAGGTCATCAGGTATATGGCTCTCAAGTCACTTGAACGTGGAGTTAGAGGATCTGAGCTTTGCTGTTTACTCCCTCTTCGACCCTGGGCAAGTCACTTCTTCTAGGCCTCAGTCTCCTCATCTGTAAAACAAGGGGCCTGGAATCGATGACCTTTGAGGTTCTTATCTAAAACTGTGCTTCTGTGAAAACCCCACAAGAGTGAGAGGAATCAACAAATAATTGACAGAAATGAATAATTATTAACTGAAGAAACGAATGGAACTTTTTTTTTGGAAGCCAAAGACCAAAGTATGGAGATAGAGGAGCACCTTGATCTGGGGTTTGTCAGCGGTCTTATTGACAAGGTTCTCTTCTATCTCCTGGTTCTTTTATCTGGCTCCTGAGGTTCAGCTGATTCGCCTGTTTTCTCTCCTCAGTGTAGAACAGGAGCTCTTCATCTTGTGTGTGTGTGTGTGTCATGGAACCCTTTGGCCATTTGGTGAAGCCTCTGGACTCCTTCTCTGAATAATGCTTTTAAATGCATAAAAATAAAAAACGTGGGATTACAGAGGAAACCAATTATATGGAAATAAAGATGTAATTGTTTTCCCATCCAGGTTCACTGACTTGCTGAAATCTACCCACAGATATGAATCCCTCAAGGCTCTGTCGTTAGCACTCCTCTCTTCTGTTTCCACTTTTTTTTTGGGGGGGGGGGTGATCTTTCACTCCCAGGATTGAATTCAGCTGGTGGAGGATTGATGGTGTCCAGAGCAGGCTTCATGGAGGAGGCAGCACCAAAGGTGATCTTTGAAGGAAGAGAGAGGTTTCGACAGACTGAGGTGGGGGTGGGAGAGAGGAAAGAAGGAAAGAAGCATTTATTAAGTGCCCTGCTAAGCACTTTACAAATAGCAAATCATTTGATTCTCACAACAACCATGTGAGGTAGGGGCTATTATGATCTCATTTTTACAGGTGAAGAAACTGAGGTAGAGGTTAAGTGACTTGCTTAGCATCTAGGACACAGCTAGGAAGTGTCTAAAACCAGATTAGAACTCGGGTATTCCTTACTCCAGGGTACTGCTCTATCCACCATTCCACCCCACTGCCTTTAAGTCTATATATAAATAGACTTCTTAATAAATTAATAGACTTATCTATTTATTAATATAAATAAATCTTTCAAGCTTTGGTGTCCAAGGGGCGAATGTGTTCATGAGTATAAAGAGAAGACTGCTAAATACATGGAAAAAGGCAAAAGGCCAAGATCATTTCCCGCAGCCTGGTCTTTGGCTCTCCCAGCTCAGGTTTTTGGCAGACGGTATCCCACAAAATTGAACTTAGAAAGAATTGCGTCAGAATTGTTGTTCTGCCTGGTGGGAGGCAAAGGGGAAAAGGGCACAGCCTGATCATGTTAGGGAAGCCCTTCCTTGAGTTCATTGCAGATTGCTTGGCACAGAAATCAGTCTTGTGTGAAATGGAGGGGCTTCTTCAGTCCCCGTGTGGCGGCTGTCCTTGAGAGATGTTCAGCCATTGGAATGTAGAAAACTGCCTGGCTAACATCAGAGAATCTGGTGGTATTTACTGTGGGAGGATGTCACGTTCACATTGGGGGACAGATGATAGCTGATAGTGAATAACTGGGAGGTAAGAAAATCAGACATAATGGGCCAGCCGTCTCACCCCACTCATCCTGAGTTTCCTCTTATGCACAAGGAGGCAGCTAGAATAAACACTCTCTAAGGCCCCCGTAGGTTACAAAATTAGGACCCTTCCAAGTTTTTGGACCATCTGCACAACTCTCCGGATTATGAGCCTTCATCTTAGATAGTGGAGGTTGCATCAGAGAGAGTGGTTGCATGTGTGTTAGGTTTGGAGAATTGGTCATTGATCAGATGCTTATGGGAAGATGCTATGATATCCAAAGGGCTCCTGCTAACCTCTGCATTGCTCAAGACTTTGACTATGTCCGGCTGTTTACTGTGTGCCAATGTGGCCATGTTGTTTCCGGGAATATTTCAAGGTGGTACCTGGTCACTTCTAGGTTTACTCAAGAGGAAGAAAGCTTTCTTTACGCAAGAGGAACTGAGATTGAAAGCCAGTTGACTTGGATCATTTGGTTTGTCTGAATCTGAACACCTGAATGCTACAGGTCAGGTGGTGGTAGCTTGAATCATTTGGGTGGTAACATTCTGCACACTTCAGGTTCAAAACTGAGCTCATTATCTTTTGCACCCAAGCCCTCTTCTCTTCCCAGTTTTCCCATTACCGTTGAGGGCACCACCATCTTCCTAGTCACTCAGGCTCATAATCTAGGTGTCGTCCTTGACTCCTTGTTTTCTCTCACTCTCATCTGGTCTCTTGCCAAGTCCCTGTTTCTACCTTCACAACATCTTTCATGCACATTCCCCTCCCTACCTTCTCTGACACTGCCGCCATCCTGGTACAGGTTCTCAATACCTCATACCTGGACTATTGCAATAGCCTGCTGGTTGATCTCCTTTGCCTCATCTTGTCCCACCCTAGTCAATCCTCTACCTAAGGCACAAGGCTGACCACGTAGCCCTCCTACTCCAGAAGTTCCCCATCACTTCTGGAATAAAATATAAAATCCTCTGTCTGGTTTTTCCAACCCTTCATTACCTGACCCCTTCCTACGTTCCGGTAGATTACGTCTTAGTTCTTTCCTTATACTCTATGATCCAGTAAAGTTGATCTCCTTGCTATTCCTCAAACACACTATTCTCTCTCCTAGTCCTGGGCATTGTCACTGGCTCTCTCCCGTGGCTAGAATTCTCTCCCTTCTCATCTCTCTGCCTCTCCTAACTTCCCCAACTTTCTTCAAATCTCAGCTAAAATTCTTCTGCAAGAAGCCTGCCCCTTAGCAGCAGCTAGGTGACTCAGTGGATAGAGCACCAGCCCTAGAGTCAGGAGGGCTAGAGTTCAAATCCAGCCTCAGACACTTGACACTTCCTAGCTGGGTGACCCTGGGTAAGTCATTTAACTCCAATTACCTTGCCAAAAAAAAAAAAAAGCCTGCCCTATATAAGGGCATAGTGCCTTCCTTCCCTCTTGGATCACCTCCAACTTATCCTGTAGAAATCTTGTTTGCATGTAGTTGTTTACGTATTATCTCTCCCATAAGACTGAACTCCTTGAAAGCAGGGACTGTTTTTGCCTTTCGCTGTGTCCCCCGCACTTACCACATTGTGGGGCACATGGTAGGTGTTCAGTAAATGCTTATTGACTTGCAAAGACTAGGGC